GATTCTTTTTCTCAAAATCCTATTTTCAATAATAGTTGCTCTCCAATAAATTTAGAAGATGATAATGTTGTAGAAGTTTGCAAAGTTATAAATAATTCATGTAACATTAAATTTGAATTCTATGTAAAAATTTCTTGATATAATTATGAATTTATCATTTTGTTCAATTCTTAGTTTACATTTAATAAAAAAATATATTTTTTGCTATAAATATGAAAAATTCTATATTTTTATAATTTTATTTATACAATCATACGGGCCAAAATCGGAACGAACCGCGACCCGCGCGACCCGTGACCCGCATGGGCTCGACCCGGATGGGTCAGCGGGCGGGCCTGGGTTGTAGTCCAAAATTGTGAGTCGACCCGTAACCGGCCCGGAACCCGCAGCGGGCGGGCTTTTTTTCACGCGGGTCGTTACCGGGCTCACATATTGGCGGGCCGACCCGGCCCGGACCACCCGAATTGACACCTCTACTGTAAGGTAGAAGTTACTTTAAAAAAAATCTGTATCTTCTTTTACTTAGAAGTAGGGAGATAATTATCCAAATGTTTCTAAATGAAATTTTTCATTTTATTCAAGCTTTGCCAAACTAAGGTTTTATTGTAAGCTTCCAGCCATTTCAAACAGTTTTTGTTGCTGGCATGGCATTTGTAATCCTTGGTTATCAATGACATTTAAAGCAAACTGTGTGACCCATGACTTGATTAATCAATTGACCATAACCATTCTTCTTGTTCAAGCTTTCATGTATATTACTTTTCATTTGCAACAAATACAGTTTTAATTGAAACTCTTATTGTTAGAATACTAATTTTTCAGGTAGAGTTTTTCTATTTAAACTCGAAGGCCAATAGAAAAAAGCTTCTGAGAGCTTTGTTCAATGTTCCTAGGACATCTCTTGACCTATTGCCATACTATTCATGAATGGTTACCGCACTATCAACTTGTATCAAGGATATCTGTTCCATGCTTTTATAGTTATTGGAGGAAGAATTCAACTTTTTAATACATAAGAAGGTTAACGAAGCCTTTTTACATGCATTACTCTGTTTATTAATTTTTTGTTGATCACAGTCTATTAATTATTTTATCACCTTTTTCTTTTTTGATTTCAGGATCAAATAAACATCGAAACAAAGATGAGCAACATACATTTTATTGGAAAACTTTGCAAGTTTAAACTTGCATCAACGGCCTTGTTTTCAGTCGACTAAAGGTATGGTAATAAAGTATTTGAATTTACAAGATCAAAATACAATTTTCTGGGATAATATTTGTTGATCTGACTACTGTAATAGAGACAGAAAATCCGATAATTGTTTTAATATCAGATATCTTTTTCTATGATTAAGACTTTGCTATGATATATTTCCGACTATTGCAATCACATTTCACTTTCTCCAGTGTATCTAATCTCAGACATTATAAGCCAACTGATAATAGACTTCACAGTGTCTTATCATTTTTGAAGGAAAATGGAGTCAACCTGGATGAAGTTGAGGTATGTCACCTACATTTTGTGTTCCACAGTTTATCATATTCACAGCCTTGACCATGGCTCTTGCCTTTTGCCATCTTCCTGTAAATTATTTGATGAATAACATTCGGGACTGCAAAAGGGTTGAATTGATTGTGCGGATGTTTAGAACTATTGCTCTTTCAGATATTCTTCAAAAATTGTTAAAATGCATACACATTAATATATAGTACAAAATGATAATAGAATTGTGTATCTTTTCAAAGCTGTTTAGTTCTTTTTTTTCTTTCTATTTTTTGTTCATGTAATTGTGGTTCTAGTTTTTGTGTGAGATATAACAAATAGTATTAGTGAAAATTCCCCCCACTAATATGCAAATTCTAGCATGTCTCTAATTGAAGTATACAAAACGACAACGGATAAAATGATAGGAACTAAGCATTGCTATTTAAAATATAGTTTCTGATAAATAGGCATACCATCCTGCGATCATCAGGAGGTAGATAGTGTTGATATACACAAGTAGTTCTGAATGTAATAGTTGCTATAGAGGTTTCTTCAGTGAGCTTGCGGTTCTCTCTGTATCTCACACTAAGTTTCACTTTTGCACGTTAATCCTTTCTTAGTATTTAGAGCGTAAGTAATATCCCTTGTCTTATGTATCAAATACAAAAGGAAACTGATGATTACAAGAGTTATGAAAGCAAAAAATTCAACCAAACAAAATTGAATGGATTATAAATTTTGGTTTGAGTTTGTCGAATCAATATTTTTGTTTATGCTTTCCAAGTTCATAGGTATGGATTAAAGTGAGAACTGAGGCATTTCACGTATTTTAATCCAGCTGAAATTGAAACAAAGATTTCTAGAAGTACTCTTGAAAGGTTTTCATAAGTGTAATGTATGCCCCTGTTTTTTAATAGGTTGCTACTCCAAGTCGGTCCAACGAGCAAGTTAATCCACCATGTTGATGTTAACACAATGACTCGATAAATTAAATTGTACTTAACTGCATGGAGGTAAATAATTAATTTTTTTGAATTTGCATCATTTTGTTCTTGCTACCTCTCCATGTCAAATATGCTAGAACTTGTATCAATAGAATATGTTAATATTAGATCGGCTTTTAGATTAGTTAAAGTTTGCTTCCTAGGAACAAAATCCATTGATTGTTTTCCCTATTTTTATATTTACAATTTTAAGTTTCTGTTTCTGACGTGAAGTAGTTCTGCTCCAACCTCAGGTTGGCATCAATGTTCCAATTCCAGTTCCTTTACCCTTCTTATTTACTGGCTCCAAGTGATGACGTCTAGGAACAGGTGTGATATTCAAAGAAAATAGTTTTTGCCTTTTTAGTTGTAGAGTTATGTTCTTCTATCATTTTGTTTACACACATGAATCAAAAATCCATGATGTCTCAACAATAACCAAAAATTCGTCAACACTATTACGTAGCCAACTATACTACAGCACGTGCCTTGCACGTGCCCTCACTAGTAAATCCAAAAAGAGGGGTAAGGCATTCTCATTTTTCTTCAATATATTTTTATCTCTTTTTTTTAACCACACATTCTTCATTAAAATAAAATTATACGTAAATCAAAAACTTTTTTTTTATTTTTCAACCACAAATTCTACATCAATGTATTATTCAAAAACTCCCCCAACTCAACTTCCGTCCATCTATTGCCCTTGACTTGGGGTACTCAATATTGTGATCTGTGGACACATTGCCACGCCACCATGGCACCATCTATTATATCCGGCAGGCATGCGATGAGCAATAGTAGCATTCCGGTAACGCTTTATATGTGATACATCTGGATCTAAACAGACAGACTGTTTTTGGCCATCATGCCCACTAATTCCTACTGAAGCCTCAGCACGTTGGTAATCAAATCCGTGAATTCTTGATTTACTAGTGAAAACAAGGTAAGCTGAATATTTCGTTCCTGAAGATAGCATGCTAGCATTTATCTTGCCATGAACTTCAAACCAGCAAACGTTAAGGAGCTCTGCCTCCTCAGGGAATCTAGTATCTACCATTGGAATTCAAAATAATAATTGTAATACTTATACAGGATAACTTTAGTACTTGGACTCAAGAAGAGAGATCCATTCCCAATATTTAGGTGTATCAGTATCACCCCACACAATAAAGAGGTCCCTTGCAGCCAGCATGAAGCACTTCTTTCCAGACTCTTTCTCCAATGAAAAGCTCTGCAATAACAAAAAACCGGTAAGATACATCCTCAACTAGAATAAATGAAACGATAGTCATGCTAAATGTTCGAGATAATTAAAATGTGAAGTGAGAACTTTACGAGTAACAACTATAAACAAGCCTTCACGGAAGCACCAACATGGAAATGAGGATTGAACAAGACACGAACACAATTTTTTTTTTAAAAAGTACCGACCAGATATGTCCCGACACTCTAATTATAATATATTATTATTTTCTATTTTTATGTTCTAAAGTAATTTTTCGTCAATTCCGATAATGTCAATAACATATCTTCTAGCGTGGGATAATGTATCAACAACGTATTCAACTGTATAAAACTGAAATATATTGGACATGCAACCAGACTATGTCCTACGCCTTTTATCTCCCAACGTGTCAACATTATCTCGATGACATGCCGAGCTGTACAAAAATAAAAAATAATTTGGAAACATCATAAGTCGCTGTCGAACACAATATATCTCCAGCAGTGTCGGGGATGTGGCCAACTGTCAAAATTATAAAATAAATTGGTCATGCCATTGTGAAGCACCGACATGTCAATTTATCGGTGTTAGACACGTATCGAACACCAGTACGTCTTTGACACGGTGCCAACATGTGTCAAAGGTCCTTTGCGGCAATTTTCGATCAGGAAAAACTGTAAAAGGTGTGCATTGTTGTGACGGTTCGATTAGGAAGAGGAGTAGTCAGGCGGCGATTTTTTGAAGAATATATGGTCAAAAAATAAGAAATTTTTTTGGGTTTATGTGTAATATTATTTTATTGAAAAATGTATGATTGAAAATAAGAAAAATAGAAACACATTTTTAAAAAAATGGAGCTAGGGATGGAAAACGGGTGAAGCCACTCCATCGGCTTGTGAGCTTGGCACTCTTGGCTCGATTCATAGGTCATTTGAACTCTTATCGAGAAAAGCCATGAGTCAAACTACCTCTATTTATTTCACGAGCCGACTCCTCATGGTTCGACTAAAGCTCTACTCGTGTCCATGTGAACCAAAGGACGAGGCCAAGTTGAACCTTATTTGTGAACACGAGCCAAGCTCGAATATTGAAATATCGAGCCAAATCGACCTGGCCCCACTGCCACCCCTAAATGGAGCCCAAATAGGAACTTGATGTGTTGAAGAAGAACTAAAGAAGGCGTGGGCTGTTATTTGGGCTTGAACTCAAGAGTAACTGAAGAAGCCCTAATTGTTGATGATAACTGAAGATGTGTGTGTAACAATAAAGGAAAGGACTCATTTTTTAACAGTAAATTACCACTTGACCCTCGGTTCCAAAAACAAAAGGGTGGTTTTTTAAATCCAAAAAGAGGGGTAAGGCATTCTCATTTTTCTTCAATATATTTTTATCTCTTTTTTTTTAACCACACATTCTTCATTAAAATAAAATTATACGTAAATCAAAAACTTTTTCTTTATTTTTCAATCACAAATTCTACATCAATGTATTATTCCAAAATACATTTTTTAAAAAGAATGGGACTCAAACACCCCCCAACCTTTGAACCACTTTAATTTACCATTTTACCCCAATCAAAGATCAAACTTTTAAAAGAAGCAAAGTCTCTTTTTTTTCAATAAGTACATTAATATTTATTACTTTAGACGATTAAATCTTTAAAAAAAAAAATTTTAAATAAAAAATAATATTTTTTAATCAACGTGTTAACGACTTATTGTGTAAGAACTTTTTTGAAAAATTGTGTATCAATGTGTCCAACATGACGTGTCCGTGCTTCTTATCCATATGCCATTTCCAACACAGGTCGGGCATCAACTCGCCGATGCTAGAAGGGTGTTGGTGCATTCTATAAACCTTCAGTCCATGCCTCTATTTGAACTATATTAAAATTTTCATTCTCATTCTTCTACTCATTTTCAACCACACATTATTCAATAAAATAATTTTTTTTCATCACATCAATAATTTTTCCTTCTTTTTCAACCACACATTCTCTATCAATCTACTATTCCAAAATACATTTTTCCAAAATATAATTGTAATTGGGCCTTAGTTGAATATTGGAAATTTGGAGACATGAAAATAATTGAGATTTGCATATTACAAGTCATAGAACTATTTAGCATTGCAAATTAAAATTTGTGATTTAAATCCCAATTATCATGGAGTTACAGGTTATAACCATGGAAAAATGGAAAGTTAGGAACAATAAGTACAATACCATAATTTATTAATCTAAGAAAAACTAATTTTTAATTACATATGCGACTTGTTGAACATTATAACATAAAAAATAATAGATATTTTAGGCAAGAACTACATTAAGAACGTCTACATTAATAAAATCATAATTGATGAAACATTAAATCTTCTCTTGTTAGAGGTAACGGAATTATGAGCAACCTTCCAAAACCTATATTATTGTAGAAGAGGTTGGGTGAATTTATTTAATTTTCAAAACAAAACTAAAGCAAATTATACTTGCAAGACACATTCCCTAACAACTAATTTGTAAAACACCTTGTAACGATCGGAGAATATTGGAAATATATTAGGAATGAAGTCTTTTCTCGGTCTTTACAATTGGTACCAAACATCACCTGACCTTGATATTGATCGTCATGTCAGATAGGACTAGAGCACAAGAGTCCTACAGTTTAGAGAATGCAATTTGGGACTTTGGGAGTTGAAGGAAGCTTCTAAACAGCCTCGGCAATGAAAACCCATAGCCAAGAGTGAAATGGTTGTCAAATCCTCTTCAATTTCGAAACCCCAAAATCGACACCAAAGTTCTAAGAATCATATCTCCACCAATCGCCACCATCACTAGTGATTGTCAAATCTCCACACAACGACAATCGAATCTCATAAAATCAAAAATTGAAAATCATAACTATTACACAGTTTCAATAGATTTATGAAAGAAAAATCAGATTTGGGTAGTGGCACCGGCCTTTGAGTGACAATGCTGACATTGTGATGTGGTTGTGACGGTCGGAATTTGGATGGCGGTTTCGACCATCGATGTGATTAAGAAGAAATTATTCCCTCTAGACAGCTTAACTCCGTCAAGCCTGTGGGTGGGAGTGGGGAAGAAGGAGAAGGTAGATCCATCAGCTTCTGGGTTTTCATGAGGGGAGGGTAGGGTGGGGTGGGGCGGGTGGGTAGATTTTTTTTTTTCTTTTTTAATTATTTTATGTTAATTTTGTGAAGTTATCATTTTGCCATTACCAAATTTGGTCAAAATCATTATTTTTGGTCAACTAACGATCAAATGGATGGTTTCCATCTGTTTGGATCACAGCTGCATATTTTTGAAAGGTTACGAACGTTCATTGACACAATTTAAATATTAGGATAAACTCTGCAAAAATTGAAAAGAATAGGGACCGTTGCTACAATTTTTCCTCTAAAATATAACATTGACAGGAATGATTTAATACCATAATGGGCATGAGTTATAACGCCCACCATAAGGGCATGAGTAAGAACAATCCTTCATTTAATTTAATATTTTCCATCATTTTGAAGTATTGTCATTAAAACAGATGCAATTAAATAGATTCAAACCTCTTACCTTTTTATGAAAAACTTGACTACTATGGCATTAGTTAAATGTTAATATTAAATGTATATTCAGTTTTAGATTAGTAATAGATATTTGGTTATTTAAATTGATGCAATAGGATTTGAACCCACGCTCCCCTTTAAAATTATGGAAAACTTGACCATTATGACATTTGATGAATGTGAAAATCTAATATTATAGAAATATAATAATAGATATATTTGATTTTCATTGCTACCATTGACAATCGACGGCATCGACCGCACGTACTCACTCAAAATCTTGGATTCGCCACTATCGATATTGTCATGTGGCAACACCAGATACACGTGACAACACCGAATGTTGCCCGTCCATGGTGGGCATTATAACTCATGCCCAATGTGCGCATTAGATCAAATGATAACATTGATATTAGTGATAAGAATAAGAACTTAAGTAAGCATACGAAATAGATTAAAATTTAATTTTAACAAATCAAAGTGCAATAATTATTTTTAATCACATATTTAATGTGATTCATAATTTTTTAACCATAGATTTTATCAATTGTTATAAAAAATAACTAAATGTAACCTAAATGTTATTATACTTTTAACATTTTGTTTAATCGAGATATAACGCCGAAATTTATTAGCTTAGGCGATGGGAATGGTAAAGAAATTAAATCCATGTTTATCTATCATTATTTCAAAATTCTTTTTTCTTTCAAACTCATTTTCAACCACATATATTCTCACAATACAAAAAAAAAAAAAAAACGTGTAATTAAAATATTTGCTACCATAATAGTGTTGTGGGATTTATCCAAAAGTTTTAATAGGTGAGTTACAATAAGTTTTTTCTATATAGCGATCATTCAAAAACTGCTGCCGTAAAATTTTGAAACGTCATTTAAAATGTTGAAAATTTTGTCTTTTTGTACATACTCTCGTCACAAAAGAATTTAAGCGAAAACTTTAAGAACACGAAATTTTGAAATTCACTAAATTATGAAAAAATAAACTCACAGATTTTATTTATTGAAGATGATGAAAAAAATTAACCCTTTATTTATAAGGGTTTGCATAAAAGCTAAGTTTAAACAAATAAAAATTGAATATAAACTAAATGACTAAAATAACATTAAAACTTTAAATGTAGTTTGTAAGTCCTAAATGAAATCAAATGGCCAAAATCCATCGTATATCTCAACAGAGTAGTGAGATATACTCATCTCGTCGTTCTCTTTCCGGAATGGTATTATGGATTCAAATCGGAGCTCGACTGTCACACTTGCACTATTACTTTTTTTTTTTTCCTTTTTGTCTAATTTTTCTTCAATCCATTCAAACATCCGTTCTACATCATTAGCAATACATGATTTATATTTAAATCCGTTACATTAAGCTTGACACTCTTCTAAATGACATCTATCGTAACCATTGATTTCTAGGGCGTGTTCGGTAGATATTAAAATCAGATTAAAATTGAAAAATCAATCATTATTGTTGACTTTTATTAAACGAGTGGGACCCAATAACGACTATATTTTCAATTTTAATTAGATTTTAATATTTACCAAAGAAGCACCTAATGTCCTATCACATCATGTTACATGTATATTCTCGTTTATCGTGTGGGGATGATACCCAAACAGAAGTAATAAATGAAGAAAAATCAGAGCCGAGTTCGAGGACCGTATATAATACTTCCATGAACTCATTTCTAATGAAGGATTAATCTATGTGTACATAGATGTACACATAGAGATTCACATAATGTGAGTAGGGTGGGAACCACGATACTATAGCATGGGCTCTACCCCATTCACATTATATGAATCCCTATGTGTACATCTATATACACATAGCATGACTCTTCTAATGAATTGTTTTGTAAATTAAATATTCACCCAGCTTTTGGTCTGATCTCAATACCTTGAATAAGGAGACCCCACTTCCAGTATCCACCCTTCATCAAACTAATTTCCACATCCCAATCTTGTTTTCCCTCTACCAAAAACTCTCCCAACTCAACTTCCATCCATCCATCTGCCCTCAACTTGGGGTACTCAGCACTGTGATCTATGGGCACATTGCCATGCAACCATATATAAAATCTGGGAGGCATGCGATGATTAACACGTGAATACTGATAGGAGTGCAAATCTAAGCAGACAGTTCGTTTTTGACCATCATGCCCACTAATACCCACCGAAGCCTCAGCAGGTTGGTAATCAAATCCGTGAAATCCTGATTTCGTACTGAAAACCATATAAGCTGAATATTTCGTTCCTGAAGATAGCATACTGGCATTTATCTTGCCACGAACTTCAAACCTAGTCACCTTAAGAAGCTCTGCTACCTCAGGGAATCTGAATTGAAAATGCAATGAACTCTCGGCATTCCGAGTAATAAATAGAAGGAAAAGTTATTATTCTTATGCAGGTAGTACCTAGACCCGGGAAGAGAAATCCATGCCCAATATTGAGGTATATCACCCCACAGAATATAGAGGTCCCTTGCAGCCAGCATAAAGCACTTCTTTCCGGTTCCTTTCTCCAATGAAAAGCTCTGAAATAACAAAAGCCCCATAAGATGCATTCTCAACTCGAAAAATGACAGTCATGCTACAATTCCCAGATGATTAAAATTCAAAAGATAATAGAATTGTTATTTCTTTTAAGTTCAAATCCATCAACGACCTGGCTTTGATATTGATAGTCATGGCGGTTGAGACTTGATCACAAAAATCCTACAGTTTAAAGGAATCCATTCGGGAGTTGAAGGAAGATTAGGACAAAATTCAATAAACTCTAGTTATATAGAATCCAAATATAGTAAAATTGATTGGTATTGTACTACCTTGGTGCCACTGTCGATGATGTTAGGGTTATCACAGAGGTGGAAATAGAGCTCTTTCTTGGAGCGATATTTAGTGAGAAGCAGATCAGGGTCGTCAATTGAGCGAGAGATGATATCGACATAATCAGGCGGCAAAAACCGCTCCCAAACCGCATCAGAGTCAGCAGCTGAACGGAATGTGGAGGCTACCAAAGACAGCCGGCAGGCGTCCTTCGAGCTTGTCAATGACAGCACATTGGCAATACAACCCTCCGGCAGATCGTGGAAACCACTGCAACTTCCAGATAGCATCATTTTTCTCTCCCTACACGTCATCTCTCTCTCTAATATCTGTGTGTTAATAGTATCGACTAATCATCCATGTACCTGTCAAACCTTTTATATATCATCTAAAAAATTTCTTGAAAAAGAAAAATAAACGGGAATCATATCTTTGTTAATACCGTTACTTAAAGAATCAATCTTTATTAAAGTATCAAGTTGAGGATCAAATTTTTTTTATGGAAAAAAAAAATGATGATTGGTAAAATTGTTGGAATTTGGTTTAAATATTGAAATTTTAGTCAAGTATAAATTTTGAAAAGTGAGTTTGTGTCAATTTTGATCAAATATTAGAACTTGATCTAATAGTCAAATTACGAAAGTAAATAAACTAATTTGTTCTACTCGTCGAGTAGATTGTCATAGTATACTTAGAATCTAATAACCAATTCCTGATAAATGAGAAATTGCTGTCCAAAATTTGAGGAAAATCGGAATTCCGCATATAGTGGCGGGTCAGCACCAAGCGAGCAATAACTCACTGCATTGCACCACTCGAGCGCCACATGGGCGGTAGGCGAGCGGCGGAATAGGGTTGCGTCCCTTCATGAAAAAAACTGAATTCTAGGGTGTGCATCTCCGACCACTATCTATATAAAGGACCCATATGACGTTTATTATTCATTCAAATTCATATTTACACTTTAGTTTTGTTTAAAAACGCTTTGTAAAAATGATTCTTTTTGCATCAAAGTCATAGTTTGGTAGAGAGAAAACTCCATTTGAGTTCGTTGGTCTGTGTAATTTGGAGTGCTCCTATTGCAAGACATGATCGTTGTATCTTTGGGGATGATTGCCGGAAAATCGTTAGAGCACCGATGCATGGTAAATTCATCTTACGGATAATGTGTCAAATACTTGTCCCGATCAATCTCATCACTTACATTTCCTTATTTTATTTTTTGATTTCTTTCAATTATGTTTTGATTTCAGAAAAAATGACTAACTTCCTTTTGTTTGTATTGAAAGATTTGAATTAAAGAATGTAATGACTTTTATTTGAAGAATGGAAATGATTGAATCTATCGTCATGTATTCGACTTCGATAATTATCATTTCCTCTTCTCAAATTCAATTTTTGGTAAGTCAGTTCATGTTTCGATTTCATGCATATAAACGGTACGTTTTGTGAATATGATGTGTGCACATTTATCGGTGTAAATTCCACAACAATCTTAAAATGAATTTTGATGTGCATATTATATTATATTATTTTTGCAATGGTAATCATGTTATTGCACTCAAAAAATTCCTAAAACATTTATAGACCATGTATTTTTCATATGTGCAACAATTAGGATAAATTGAAATTAATTGGAAGGTCTAGAACTTTCATGAAGAATTTAAATCATAGTGCTTCTCCTTTTATACATTCCGTAACAAATTTACCACCGTTTGGAGCATGTGAAATTAATCAGAGGCTGCCCATATATGTTTGCCATGGTAAGTAGCTATGTTTATATCCATGCATTAAAATTAAAGAAATCATTTGAAAGCAGTTTATCGAATTTGCATTGAATGCAGTTAGTTGGTGATGACTAACTACTTCGTAAAAAATATTTTGATGAAGGTAATCTAAGGAGATTCGCAAATTTATTCGATTTCTAATGATAGTGACTTTGAGAAGTTTGATACATATTTTCATTTACAAGAGATATTTTGGTCTTTAAAGAGTCCAATTATGTTAAATGAAAGAAAAATGTGTGCTCTTTGGATTATACCCCAATTTTATTGGGACCATTTCATTGGTATATTGTGTGAGTTGGCAACACATATATGAAAGTTCATCGAAGACCACTAAATTGAAAGTACTTAGACTTTCACGCAGCATTATCTATTTGATGGATGAATTGGACTTTGAAAGGAATGATGAACTCTAAGTTCAAGTATAACCCAAGAATGTGGAGGGTTAAACATTAGTACTGTTATGAAAATTTCAAAACTTGTGAATGCAACATTACAAGATTCCTAATTAAGAAATTATGGGAGTAACTTATTCTACAAGTTAAATTCTCTATACCTTGTAAATCATAGAATCATGTCTATGAAGTGAAAAGGTAGAAAGCCTTACACTATTTTAGAAGTTTAAGGATGGTTCACAATGTGATGTACACTAAGTTTAAAGTTGATAAAATGGGATGAAAGTCGATTATGGCGGTTGTTTGGATATGCAAGAACAATTGGAACATTTGAAGAATATCAAAATTGAAATGCATTAGTTCAATGTTGAAAATTGAATACCGATGACTAGTATAACGATTTGATATAAATCCTTCAATAGCGTTTGGAAATTGTTAAAGCTTTAGATATAGCTAGAAGCTTCATAAGAGGATTTCTTAGTTGGTGACTTAGACGCTGGATGCTTTAGTGAGATTTGTTGGAAAAACGAGTAACTTCCGAAGTCTGTCGCTTGAAGGATCTAATGGACAAAATAGAAAGAAACAGCAATCAAACTATAATTAATATAAAATGTTCAATAGCAAAAGAAAAATCTCACAATATTATTACAAAACCACATGCAAAGATTTGTGTTCCTTAAAATTGCATTAGTAAGAATGTCATCACTGTTTAACTATCAAGGCCAGAACACAAATAAATTTCAGTTCGAGTTTTTCTCCAATTACCGGTTCTTCAAACGGTGACTTTTACATAAATGAAAACAGAAAATTACAAGAAATTAGTTGTACATGCAGCCATGATTAACAGAAGATGTGACAGATCTAACAGTAAATCCCTGGACTAAGTTTAGGAAGAGCCACTAAAGCTGATCTCCATACCTCCTCCACCTATTCCCGCAATCAAACATTCGAACCCGCATGATTCCAACTCCGCAATTACTTTGTCAACAACTGTTCCTGATAGTACTGAGTCAATGCAGTTAAGAAAAAAAACCTCTGTTTGAAGTAAAATTTGATCTATCAAAAGTGGATAAATTTAAGCAGCAAAAGGAAAAAAAGAAAAGCAAAGAATAACCAGAAGGATACGGTTTGGTAGTAGTGTCAAAACGCAGCCTCCACCTCCAGCTCCTGTTAATTTGGATGACAGCTTGTATTTCAGTGTTGATCGAAGCACAGTTTCAATAGAAGCATGGCTGACACCCATGCACTGGAGCAAACCCTGATTCATCTCCATCAGTTCTTCTAATTTTTCCTCTTTCTCTGTTATGGCTAGATCATCTGTAACCGGTGACTGGATAATTGAAGCAAACTCGCTGCTGATGGAATCAACTGCAGAAAATACACAGTCCATAGCTTTGGGATGCCTTATTGTCCTCTCAGAAACACCAGCAACTAGAGCTTTTGTATTTCTCCCAACTTTTGTGTTAGTTATGAGCATTTTAAGTGGCATATTCGTCTTGATGCGAGTCAATTCACCAGACCTAAATTTGATCATGTTGCCTGTTACATAAACTTCATTAGTCTAACGAATATGAACTTCACCCAGCACTATGCATCAATAAGCTAAGAAACGTCAAGTTATTAGACATAATATAGAAGTATCAACTCTGCAACATCTCGCCTAGATTAAAAAAAAATTTAAAACCATAAATAGTAAAAGAAAGAGAGTAAAGTAATGTAAAAGACTCGGGTGGCATTTGGGAGACTCGGAATTTCCTTTTAAGAAATTTTGGTACTTAGCAGAGGTACAAGAAAGGACATTTAGAAGAAGGCAATAAGTCCTAAGAAGCCCATTGAGAACGAACAATGAAAAGATTTTAATATCATGGTCTCCCATCCCTAAATATTTTTCATAATTTACTCTGATATCCTTTAATTATGAATTGATTTCCAATCCCCTATCATATGAGTGATGACTTTTCATGCTAGTTATGATTTTCAAATATCAACTTAACACTATGAATCTCTTGAAGTCGAGCACTTCTGACAGAAAGTGTAGCCAAACAGTAATTATGCTGGCACTATGAGTGATTGAACTCCTTGAGCCGACTGTGTCTTGTTTCCGATTTCCGACAACTGAAGCAATGTGTTACTCCCATGATTTTTTCTCTCAATGGAAAAACCATCTTTTTTTATTTGTTTTCTTAACCATTTTTTCATTTAAACAAGATGAAATGAACTGAGAACCCCATAACAAAATAAAATAAGAATTGAGGATCTCCGCTAGGAATAATTCACACCTATAAAAGTTCCTATTATTCTTCTCTCTGTACATCACGCGATTTCCCTAAACTCCCGCCCTGACCAACCAAATGCAACAATACCTCACAAAGAGACCAAACACAGTTGTCTGGCAAGAACTAGATCATCCGAACTAGTCTAAACAACAAAGTCCACATATCTACAGCTATTCCACAGTGATGAAGGGGTGACCTATTTCATCTTTATACACAACACACCAACACAGGAAAAATCTTATTCATGTAAATATTTCATAGCATTCCTGGCAGTTGTCTAAAGATAAATCCAACTATTTACACCCATTCACTGCAATTAAAATACTAATATTAATTTCTAGGATAAGATCCAAATTAAATTTCTTGGATAAGATTGCTAAATATTCTAAGATCATAAAAATTATTCCATAACAAGAAGACAATGGTTTTTTCCCCAAAAAAAAATAAAAAAAATAAAATAAAACATACACACACATATTATCCTAGGAAGTTCTAAGAGGAAGTGACATGATATGTTTCCCAGATAACTAATAAAATTGAACCATTTCTACACTCATTTTTTCAGATTTTATCATAGATGGAAAGCCAATCATCGTTGCCACATGCAATTAATTGTATTACATACCATATGTGCTCACTGTGTTGTCTATCCCAGATGGCTTCCCATGGATTATTTTTTCACCTTCAAAGGCCCATTTATTTAATAGTTCCAGCTCACTATCCTCAAACATTTGCCATCCCTGGTGTCTAAAATCAAGTGTCACAGAATCAGATAGAGCAAGTAGTGCAGCTGACAATGCAACACAGAAGGCAGCAGATGAACCCAAGCCAGAGCCCA